AGATAAAAAAAACGAAAGAATTAAAACAATGGGATACATAATGATGATGCAGATGATGATAAATCTTGACTATCAAATCATCATCATCATCATCATCATCATCATCATCATTAATCCACATTTTTCATCTTGATTTTTCATTTTTTTCGTTTCAGCTACCTGAATTGAATTGAAGATTTTTCTTCTTGTTTTTTTCGTGGAAAAAAAATCATTTTTTTCTGGTTTATTTTTCATTTGAAAAAAAATTCAAAAAATCGACGCCTATTTACACATCACCATCACCAAAGATGGGAAATCACAAATCCCCTTCCCCCTCTTGACAATCGATCAATTTTGTATCAAAATTTTACACGATTTTTCAATCATATAAATATTTGGCATGTAAACACAGTGTGTTGGATGTTACAAAAATGTTTTTTTGTTTTGTTTTGGCTGGTATGCAAATGGTCATTTTGTTTTTTCGTTTTGATTCGGACATTCTCGATTATTCCCACGGATAATGAGAATTCCATTGTGATTCGTTACACGAAAAAAAAACATTATCATCATCATCATATTTATGACAAATGAAATTTGCCTTATTTTTTTTTGTTCAAAAAAAAACCAGTTTTGTTCTGGATTTTATTTCATTCATTCATTCGTTTTTCGAGGGAAAATATTTTCATTTGAAAAAACAAAAAACAAAAAAACACCGAAAATTTATATATATTTATGAGATAATTTTTTCATTTTCTGTTGTTGTTTTTAATGTCTAAATTGGATAATTGTATAGATCAAAAATATCATAATCAGTTGTTCTTTGATGTTTGAATAATCATTTTGCAAAAAAACTGTCATTTCTTTCTCTATTCTTTGTCTTTTTCTTTACTTCTTCTTCTTCAAAAAAAAAGATTTCACACACAAATTTGAATCAAAATTCTTCTTTGTTTTGTTTTCTTCTCTGGTTGTTGAAGGTATCAACAATTCATTTTTTGTGCATTGAAATTAAATGTAAATAATGATCTCGAGCCGGTTTTGAATGTCATGTTTGTTTGTTTGTTGGTTAGTTGGTTTTGTAAACAAAATTATCAACAATCGATCAATGGCAACCAAAAAAAAAATCATCGTTGTTTTTCGCCCCAAAAGGAAAGATGCTTGGACAAATAAGACATTTATTCTATTTTAACAAGAGGAGAGAGGGGGTTGGGAAAAAAAATAGACAACACCAAACGGATACAGTCGAAATAGATATTTGATTGTCCATTTATGGAATATTCAAGATATTCATATTTCGTCACATATGTGTAATTGATGACATCGATTAAATCATTTAAGTTTTTTGATGCGGAAAATAATTTTATTAATGCAAAATATGTAGATACAAATGATAAATGTTTTTTTGTTTTTTTTAATGTAATTAAATCCAGCAAGATGTGCTGTTTATCATCATCATAATCATTAACTTGAATTATATGTTAACCAACGATGATCGTTGTTGATGTTTTTAATGATGATAATGATGAAAAACCACCATTGATCGGAAAACAAAAATTGATCATAATCCAATGATGAGAAATAAAAACAAAACAAACATGAAAAACACTTGTTGATTTTCATGTTTTTTCTCAATATTTTTCTTTTTTGCGTGGTTTTTTTCTCGGCAAATCTTTTTCAAATCAAATGAATCGATCATCATCGAAATCAACATCAGGCGTTTTTATTTTTTGTTGTTCGTTCGTTCGTTCATCAAATGAATCAATAGATTGATGGTATTGTTTTTTTATTGATATTTTTTTTTGATTATTATCCATTTTTTTTTGTTATTTATAATTATTGGATGTTGTTCATTTTCGTTTGTTTAGTTCATCAATACCAGAAAATATAAAAAAAATCGATCGATTGATCGATCGATCAAAGTCGTATCTGTTTTTTTTGCTGTTGTTGTTTTTGTTATTACAAATGAAAAAAACAAGAATTTTCAATTATTGATTATGTAATCCCGAAAATAGAGGAAAAAAACATCATCATCATCATTAATTGGATATCGAAAAATAGAAAAAATCCGAACTCAAATAACAACAAAGCGGCAATTTTAACCAAGAAAATCCAATCGGATTGAAATGGAATTCGAACCCTAAATTCGTTCGAATCGAACAATTCAAACATTCGATTTTTTCCCTATTCGATGATGATGATGATTATAATAACAAAAATTTTTGTTGAAATAAAAAAAAACATTTTTGTTGAATAAACATGAAAAACCTCATCATATCGATCAATGAAGAATGATCAAATAATATCATGATTATAATCATATATGATGATCATCATCATTCCCGATGATCATGATAATCAAATATTATATTTACATGAAGCGGGGGAAAAACCGCAACTACACCATCGATTGATGATCATGTCCATAATAATGATTAAAAGTATATCATCATCATCGCAATCATCATCATTATGATTGAAATCAAGAAAAAAGAAAACAAACGACACCAACCAACCAACCAACAAAAATCATTAAAATCATGATTCGACAATGATGGATATAAATCCTAAAATCGAAAAAATCAAAAAAAAAAAAAAAGTTAATGATAATTCTTTTTTTGTTGTTGAAAAAATTCACATCCAATGATGAACATGATGAATTCAAATTCAACAACAACAACAACAACAACGAAAAAAAATGATACATTTGAAAATTGGCCATTTTCATATGATAATTATCATGATGATATCGAACAGTTTTTCCAATTTTTTTTCCCTGATGCTTTGATGATGATCAACATTTCATCGTGTGTTTTCATTACAATTTTTCTCATGATTTTCAACTAAAAAAAAAAGAAAAAAAAATTTTGTTGAGAAAAAATTCATCATTTGTGGTTTGAATGTAATTATTATTATCAACCAAAACAAATCATAAACAATGATGTTTGATTTAGTTTTTTTTATCTGTTGTTGTTCACTGATTATGATGGTTGAATTGTGGTAATATCATTGTTTTTTTTATATTCACGATTTGTTGTTGTTGTTTTTTTTGTTGGATAAAAAGGATTTCAACGAGATACTATCGATGTTTGTTTGTATTTCATCAAATCTATCTATCATCATTGAAGAGATCAAGTAATGATGTGAAATGAATAATGATGATTTTTGGCAAATCACAAATGAATTTGATTTCTGGTTACATTTTTGAGATGAAATCAAAGAGAGAGAATATTTATTCGAATCTTCGGATAATTATTAGTGTGTGTGTGTGTGGATATTTTCGGAAATTATTTTTCCCGGGAAAAGCAAAAAATTTGAATATCAAAATATACAAAGCGAGGGTGGTTTTGTTCCGATAATAAACGTTGCATCCATAATGATATCAAGGTGGATGATTAGGTAAAAATAGCCAAAAAAATGGATTTTTTGATATTCAAATCAAGTTGACTGAATTTTTCGTTTTTTTCAGGTACATCTTGATGATGATGATGATTAGATTATAATCAAGATCAACGATATACAATCATTTTCATTTACATTTAATTCTTATTTCGTGTAGATAATTATTATTTCATACACCATCAACAACGATGATGATGGTGTGATTTCTTTGAAATCCAATTTGATCACCACCACCATATTTTAATAATTTTTTTTTTTGGCCAAAAAAAATTTGATCAATTATCGGTTGGTTGATTGATTGAATCAATTGAAGCAATGATCCGTTTTACCAAAGTTTTTTCTCCACCGATTTTTTTTTCTATAATTTTTAATTTAAATTAACCCCCTTGAACGACAGACAATTATCATCCAAAAAACTGATGATAATTGGATAAAAAAAATGAATGAATGAATAATTAACGAATTCGCAAAAAAATCAAAAATCAAATGGATGATTGAAGAAAATTTGGTAAAAAATGATTTTTGACTGAGAATAGAATCTCATTGAAGAATTGAAGGTTAAGGAGAAGAAAGAAAATTTTGACAATTTTTTTCCCTCACTTTTTGGTTTCGATAATTAACTTATGATTGAAAATTATCATCAAAAAAAATATTTTTTTTTTTCAAAAAAAACCAAGCACCTATCATCTCGTAAGTCTTTTCATCTTGATGATTGGTGGTGGTAATGTGATGAATTCATTCATTTGAATCATTTAACTTCATCAATCTTGAAACAAACAAAACAAAAATGAAAAAAAAAGATTCAATCATCATCGGCGTGTGAGAATTATTGGTTGATCATCATCATTGTCATTATCATTATCATTATCGACGACGACTATTTCTACACACGCAAATCTTTTTTTTAAAATTCATTTTCTCATTTTTGTTGTTATTTACTTTATTTTTGTTTTGTTTGTTTGTTCCATTCGAATACCCATAGAATTCATAAATAATCGATGAAATTATGGAAAAAAAGAAGAAATTTTTTTCTCATTTTTTTCCTCGTTTTTTTTTCTCCAAAATCTTTTGAATTGAAATTTTTTTTTAACAGAAATCAATCGGGCATAGAAATGAATTGAATTGAATTGAATGCAAAAAACTCTTTGGGTATTTTTTTTTCCTTTTGTTAATCACTGATTGATGATGATGATTTAGGGAATATTTTTTTTCTCGAGAAAATCCATTCAATTGAATTAATTAATCATCGATTAACCAGGAAAAGAAATTGATTGGAGCCGATGATAAGCCGATTTTAAAAAATGTCGGTGGCCAATAATGTGGTGGTGCCATCTGTAATTATCATTTGAATCATTGAGAACAATGGACATGCTGCTGCCACCTGTTGATCGTAAATTCTGTTAAATTTTTTTTATATAAAAATTCAGTTTTATAAAATATTTTCAACATTTAATCAAATTAAAATTAAAATCATACAACAAATTTATCAAATATATAAATTTTGTTTTTTGACGGATTCTGATGAAATCTAATTAGATTAATTTTTCTTTTTAAAAAAAAATGATAAAAACAATCAATAAGAAAAACAAAATTGAGAATATAAATCGTATGATGATGAGGATGATGATGATGATGATGATGAAAATTTGTTCAATGTGCGTTTGAGTACGGCTTTTGAATTTTTATCACAATTCTTTCATTTTTAATGGACCCGATTCATCATCGTCTTCTTGTTGTTGTTGATGATGGATTCGAGCTTTGATTACTTTGGCTGATTGAACATCAAAATTTGTATAAATGAAATTTTCATTTCTATCACAATTATTATGGCTATTTTGTTGTTGATTATTATTATCATCTTGATGATAATAATCCAAATTATCATTATTATTATCCAAACCAGATAATAATGTTTGACTAAATTTCCATTGTTGTTGTTTAATCCATTCTGGTTTAACTGGTTGTCGTTTTAATTGTCCATCCCATTCCAGATCAACTAAACCACCTGTTGATGCAATTTTTGCTTTTACACGATTTGCAAATTCAATGGCTGATTCATTTGATTGACGTGTCATTGGTGGTAAATACCAAACATCACATACAATTGCCCATGATGTCATCATCATCATCCAATAACGTAGATAACCGTATTTACTTGAATTCCAAAATGGATCACCAAAACGTGCATCATATTTTATTGCAACTGGATATATGGTAGCACCTATTTCAAAACTACCTTTTTTAAACATCATTACAGCCGAATTATTTATACAAGTTCCTTCAGGAAAAATTAATATTGGCATCTTTTTTTCTTCAGTATGTTGACGTAATCTACGTGATACAGCTGTATAAATGTAAATAAACATTTAGTTTTTCTCAAAAAGTTACAACAATAAACATTTAAACACCTACCTAAACGATCATTAATTTGAAAACGATCAAACCAAATATGATCAGAAGAACGAGAAATTATACGCTGTAATATACCAAGAAATCCATTATGTGATTGTCCAATAAGTGAATAACAATTATCACAATGTAAAATAATAACATCAATCGGTGATGTATGATTAGCAACACAAATCCCTCCAGGTTTAGCTTTATTTTCTTCATCATGATAATTGATAATACTGCCAAATGAACGTGATAATATACGTGCTGCATGTATTAATAGATAATATTGTATTGTTTTACGAAAACGAATATCCGGTAAAAGACCAAGAAAAGTACAAACAAATGTTAACCAACCGAAACCGATAATAAATATGAAAAAACGTGTTGGAAATAATATCAGATAACGAAATAGAAAACCACATAACCATATAAATGCTAAACGAAATGATCGATAATGTGAAAAATTATCCGTTCGTGTTAATAGATTCCATGTTTTTAATTCTTCAGCTGCAAAACGTTTTGTTACAGCATCATCAATTATTGCTTCAATACCAAGCGATGTAAAATCCATTACTGTTGATAATTGTAAACGATTTTGTGTTTCACATAATCTTAATGTCATTGAACAATTTTTTCGAAAACTTTCGGGCACTATGTTGTAAAAAAATCATTATTACTTTTTCAAATTTAAATCATCAATTGAATTTTACCTTCATTATCACTATTATCATCGGAATCCGAATTAAATGCACTATCCGTATTATAATCTGAATCCATTGATGATGATGTTGTTGAATTACGATCAGTTGAATCTTGTGATTCAGTTCGTTTAAGGCCATGTTGTTGTTGTTGTTGTTGATTTTGTTGTTGTTGTTGACTATGACGACGTCGTCGTTTTTGTTGTTGTAATTGTTGATTAATACGTTCAACACCACGTTGTCCATATTCAAATAATTTTAATAAATTACTAACATAAATTTGATGGATAAAAAATCTATGTCCAACTGATGCTAGGCCAAGATATAATATCAATATGATCAATTGTATGATCAATAATGTTATGATTAATGTTAGCATTTCTGGTTATTTCTTTTGGGTTATTCAATATTTTCGTTGGCCTGGTTTTTTATCAATTAAATAATTTGATTGTTCACAATTTTGGCTGATGGTGATAAAAATCATACGATATGATGATGATGATGATGATGTTTTTTTCGGAGAAAAAAAAATGATGTCAATGATGATGACTATGCTTAATTTAATCACTGAAGAATTTAAAAAAAAAATATCGGATGTTTATGTTAATCGAGAATGGGATTTTCTTTGAAATTTATTCGTCGTCGTTGTTGTTGTCATATAAAATTTCAGTGTTAATCAATTCGAGTATTCGATTGATTGATTGATTGTAATTGGAAATAATGCCTTACATCATCATCATCGAATAACAGACGAAATTATGATGATCATCAAAAAAAAACAATATAAAATTCAACAAAGATTAAAGATCAAAAATGGAAAAAAATGATGATGATGACAATGAAGCTTTTTCTGAAGCTTTTAATGAATTTTTTTAATGAACAAAAAGCCACAATAAACCGAAGAGAGAGAGAAAAACTAGAAGAAAGCTTCATCATTTGTTACACATTCATGATCATCATCAACAAATGATGGAAATCGACACACAAAAATGATTGGAAATGAAATTAACAAAAATCAAAGATCAATATGTCATTGTCAAATTTTTTTTCTGGCAAAAAAGTTTTTCTTTTTTCCAACCAACATTCGAATCTATATCTACACAAACAGTCGCACACACACACACACAAAATAGATAAATCACCGGATATAAGTTTGTCAATTTTGTTTTCTTTTGAAATTTTGTTATCAATTTTGAGCACAAATTTTGAACCAGATATCGTTGTCGGTGTCGTTTTTTGTTGATAAATTTTCAATTTTAAAATTTCTCTTTTTTCTCGTTTGTTTAATGAACCGAAAATATTATTTTGTTCACAAAAATTTTGTTGTTGATTTTGATTATGAAATCAACCCAGACAACAACAAAAAATGAATGAATTTACACAAAATTTGTATGTTGATTGGTTGTGGAAATAGCCAATTCAAACTGGCTCTATTCGGTGATATTCATATTCGTCATTTATAACAAAAAATCAATAATATCGTTGATGATGATTGAGGAAAAAATGAAAATGGACAATATTGGTGTTTGGTGAAAAAATAGCTGTTTATTTTTCTCACTCGAATCGCTGATATTGATAAACCGAATTGATTAGAAACTGTGATTGATATGCGAAATAACAACAAACAGAAGAAGAAGAAGATTGGTAACAAGTAAAAGTAAAAATTGGTAGTCGAATTGAGAATATCTAAATCAAATCAATATCCAATTACAATCGATATCGATAACGATTGATTGATTGAATCAAGAAATCGATAACAAGAGAAGACAGAAAACAAAATCATCATTCAATTTTCGTGTGCCAAACACATTGTATGACGTTGTTACGTTTTTTACCGTTAATCAATCATCATCTTTTTGAAAATTTCACTTTCTCTTTATCCAGCCATCCATCTTTATTTATCAAAACCAAAAAAAAAAATGAATAAACCAGATTGAATAAGTCAGCAGAAAAACAAAACAAAAAACAAAACGAAAGATTTTTTCTTTTTTGCAACGTCAATAATGATTTGCGAGGAAAAAAATTGTAAGCGAGAGCGAAATTAATGATAAACAAATCTGATGCAACAGGTTGTTTGCTTTGTTTTGTTTTTTCTTTTCAGACAACAAGGATCGACAACAAACATCATTGTTGTTTTGTTGATTTACAGTTTTCATTGAGTGTTTCAGCAAGTGAGAGAGAGAAGTGCAAATCAAATGAATGAAAGAGAAAGGAAATCCAAATGAGATTTTTTTGAAAAATAATAATTTTTCTTACACAGAGACCACAATCATCGCACACAAAAATGATATTTTCACTTAGTAGTGGTAGTAATTTACTAAAATGGTAGTAGTTTAAAAAACGCATTCAAAAAAAAAAAAATCATTCAGTTGCGAATGGATTTGGATCCAAACAGAAAAAACTATAATTTACTCTTTTTCAAATTCAATAAATCAATAACGGAACATACAAAAACAAAACGAGTTTCAAGTTATTTGGATCAATGATTCACACAATCAATATATTCACACAGAGATATTAGCCATGTGTGTGTGATAAGATCCTTCGATATTTTTTTTTCTCATTGAAAAACTTAAAAAAAAAACTTTTTCGTTTGCCTTCATTTGATAAATTAATTGAAAGTAAAAGTTAATTAAATATAGCAAGCAAGCATAAATTAAGCAAACGAGTAGTGTTGTTGATGCAGTAGTTGTTTTAGTGATAATAATGATGATGTATCATTGATTAATGTCATTGAATGAATGAATGAATAAATTCATTTTCAACGGAAACCAGTTATTCATTTCATTTCGCTTATTTTGTATGTTTTATTAATGATTGTTGTGTTTTTTCAGTGAAAATTTTCTTGGTAAAATTCTTATTGATTGATCGATTGGTTGGATGGATTTTCCATTGTCCATCTTGTCAGAGGTTCATCGGTACCCGAATCATTGATTATTTGTAGGTTGTTAATGTTGTTGATTGAAGGAATCAACGAAAAATTACATTGAATTTGAATGAATCATTAGATTTTAAAAATAATTTTGTTGCAACCTTGAATGATAATGATAATGATGATGTTTGATGATTATTCATCATGATGGTCGGTGATTATCTTTTTGATTATGCAATTTATTTTTTAAAGAAGAAACAAAAAAAAACCATCATTTTTAATTTCAAAGTTTTCAATTTAAATAACTAACAACAACAACAACAACAAAAAAGATTTTCATCACTATCATCTACGACGTCGATTTAAATCAATTTGCATTGGATTCCAACCACATTTTGATATTTGTTTTCCTTTTATTGAATTATATTTTGCTCGTATTAATTTATCTTGATTCCAATCTTGATTTTGATCTTTTTTATTAAGAAATTCATCAAGATTTAATTGTTTATGTTTACCATGATTATGATTATTGTCAGAGATTCTTAAATCGATTCCATTTGATCTGTTAGAATTTTAGATAAAGAAAAAAACATTAATCAATGGTCAATGGTTGAATGTAGTTAATCAAATGTACCTGGTCAATGAAACATCTAAATTATGAATATCCAATAATGATATTATTGTTGCCAATGAATGCGTTGATAAACATGCATCCATACCAATGATTCGTGGATAATAATGTAACCAGACGAGGCAATTTTCATTTTTATCACCATTTTCTAGGCCAGCCTGTTGAAGAGAAATCAATCAATTATCATTATCGATTGAAATCAATTTTTTTTCCAAAAAAAAATAAACCTACTCTGACAGTTCGATTAGATGTATTTATATAATTACATTCGACAATAATTTTATCCATTGCACGAACTGTTGGTGTTTCGATTAACATTTCAAATGTTTTCTGTTGTCCATTTTTATGATGAAAAATTTGTTGACGTCGCTTGTGTTGTTGATCAATAATTTCTACATTAATTTCATCCAGGTAATGATGATTTGTACCCAGTACAACCGAAAGGATTTGGATTTCATTTTCAATTGTCTAATTGAAATGAAAAAGAATATTTAAAAATCGATCATAAAAATCGATTGATTGATTGATTGAAATCAAAATTAAACACCAGGTAAAAACTTTTGACATACATTTTGTAGACAATTATTTGCCTTACAAACACCTTTCATTGACCAATGATTTAATTTTGGTGGTAGGAAAAAAAATGAATCCGGTACAAAACCAATAGCAATTATACCGGCTTCAATATTAATTTCAGTTTGATCAAATAAATATAAATCAAAACCAGATTGATCAATGATTTGTTTGAAATCATTTGAATATTCAATCGATAGCAATAATGTTTGTTTTGGTAATGATTTTTCCGGTGATTGATAATGATTGAATGCAATACCAATATTGGATGGATATTGTATCAATGTTTGATTATGTTCAATATTTGGCCATTTTATTGCTGCTAATCGTTGTATACACAAGAATTTTGTTTGGTTTTCATTTGTAAATAATAATTCTTCAAGAATCGTTTGATCATCATCATCATTGTTGATTTCATCACAAAGTATCAATTCCATACGTATGATTTTATTCGGATTTTCAATATAGGTACGAATTTCATTTATATAACGTATTTGTTGTTGATCATCTACATCTTCATCGAATGGTATGTTGACAATCTGTCGAATTAGACGATTATCGGATTGATTCACTTCAGTATGGATGAATTCTTGCTGGAAAAAAAACAAACAAATTACAATGGAAAATTTTCAAAAAAAACAACCACAGAAAACACCAGAAAAAACAAACTAACCGTTTCATCAAAATAAACACTCCATATTTCCAATGTATCAATTGATTGTAATGACCAGATAAACAATGAAATAATGATGATCAATGGCGATCGCATCACCATGTTTGTTTGTTTGTTGATTATATAAAATCACAAAATTAAATGAAAGAACAAAAAATAACCTGAAGAAAAAATGATTGACAAAATGATTGCAAAATGATAATGATGATCGATAAACTTTTCAGGCAAAGAATTTCTGATTATAATGATGATCACGCAAAGCAAAAAAAAATATAACAATAAGCCAATTTCATTTCAATCAATCATTCATACACCTTGAATAGCAAAACAAACAGGTAACAAATATTGATTGTTATGGTCAAAAAAACAAACATAACATCTTGACATCACAATACCAACATCACCAAATGGCTATAGCCGGTCTCAATACAAAAAAAATATCTGATGGCAGCCACACACACACCATTACATCATGGATAATGAAATTATACTTTTGAAATGAATAAAAATATCAATCTCTCTATCTATCCATCTATCTATCTATGTATCTATTTTTTCTCTTTTTGAATTTTTGCAAAAACGAAAAAAAAATTCCAATTTCTCTCGTCAGTTTTGTTTTTTAGTTTGCTGGAAATAAAAAGCTTGTTACGCTAGTTTTTTTCGTTCCCTAATTCATTACATGGTAATATTGAAGGAAAATGTGGAGGGGGAGAAAAAAATCTTGTCGGTTTTTTCTTTATTTTGTTATTTTTTGGTGTCAATATTATTCTTCCATGCCGGTACTGAGGTAAGTTATAATTTGTGTAAAAGGTGTGTTTTCGATTCACCAAATAATGTCTGCGGATATTTTTGGTTGCTTTGAAAATGTTATTTTGTTCAGACATTGTTTATCGAAGATTTTTTTTCATCTCAATGTTGTTTTTTGTGTGTCTGTGTGTTTGGCATTCATTTGAAATTGATTAGATTTGAAACAAACAGAAAAAAACAGATTTAGAAAACGATGGGGCAAACAAATTTGTTGTTGTTGTTGTTTATTCATGATTCGATTGTTTGTGATATATGGTGATCATTGATGACGGCCAATGGCTGAAACAAAACAAAAAAAACCTTCAATTTAATTATCAAATTGATAGTTAAAATCAAATCAAATAAAGATGTGCCATTATCCACCACATATATCGTTTGTGTGTTTGTGTCAAGAAAATTTCAAAAATTTTCTGCGAAAACATCTGTATATATCTGTGTCATAGTTAGGTCATTTGAATTTATAATTCAAAAAGAAAAAAACGGGGAAAAATTCAGATTCAGATCTTTCATTTTTTTGCTCTGTTGTTTTATCTCGATGAACCAATTAATTATTTTTGTCAGGAAAAAAAAATGAGATTATGATGAATCAAGATCATTGAATTTTTTTTTTTTTTATTGGAAATCTCAACCATAATCATCATCATTTATTTTCATTCAATTTGATCCGAATAAATAGCCAATATTGTCCAATAAAAAATATTAAATAATAAAAATGTAATTGGAAATATATAACGTGAACGACGATCAATTTCAAGTGCAACTTTTTTTGCATTAAAATTTTCATCATTTTTAAATGGTGGTAATATTTTTGTCCATGTATCATGCCAATAATAGCCGAATAAGGCCATATTGCTACTTTTATTACTTGCCGATGATTCCGGGCGATTATTATTGTTCATATCCAATGATGAATGCGGTTGTTGTGGTTGTTGCGATTGTCGTCGTCGTCGTTGTAAAGCTTTATCCTGTATACGTGCCGGTTTTGTATAGAAATAATTTGCCGTTGAATATTCAATAATAGCAGCAAATATAAACATTGTACACATTATAATCCAAATATCTAATGAACTAATAAATTTTGTACGTGGAATTTGATCATGTATTGCTTTTGTACTGGTTACATGTGTTAACATTGTTGTTAAAACTAATGCAACACGTGCCGGTGCAGCCGGTATATGTATCCAAAATGATGACCATGAACTAATGACAAACAATGTTGATGGTAGATAAACATTAAATAAATGATATGTCATATGACGACGTAATTCAAATGTTGCTGCTAAACGTTTAAATGGTCCATTATCATGATAATTTATTTGTCCCGAATGTGTTGATAAATTTTTTAAATCAAAATTTGCCCATTTAAAATTATCCGGTATATCGATTGGTTGTTTATCAAGCCAAAATAATTGTAAATTTTTTGTTGTTAATGAACTTGATTCAATTTCAATTGAACATTGTTGTTTATCCATTGGATAAAATTTTATATTAAATTTACAGCTTGCTGTTAATTCTGTTCTATAATTTAATTAAAAATTTTTAAACGGTAATTAAATTAAAATACAACTAATAAACTCAATGTAATTACTTTTTGATCAATGAAACACGACCATCACTGCGTATTGTACCGGAAATTTGCCCGGGTAATTTATCATTCAGAATATCAGTTGTAAATGGTACAGCATTTGAAAAATGTATGGATGGTCTCCAAATACGAACAATATCACTCCAATCAACATCTAAATATGATTTTTGATCAGTTGAATTATCGGCTGTTTGATTTGATATTGAAAGACGTTGATCATTCCATATTGTATAAACATGAATCAAAACTGTATATTGTGATTTTTTCTCATCAACCGGACCAAAATGTAATAATTTCAGTCCAATTTCCATTTCGTTTTGATCTGTTTTGGGTGGAATTCTAAAATCATAATTTTTAGGATCAGTTTTTTTCCAAAATAATTGACGATCATAAACATTGTTAATCTGACCATTCAACATTTCAATCACATTGATAATGGTGATGAATAATAGTAAAAGTTTATTCATCATTTTCTCAACCAAAAATAAACAAAAAAGCAAAAAACAAAAACAAAATCAAATGAGAATCAATCAAACAAACAAACATAACCAGATTGGCAATACACACACACACACAAAAGTAAATTTTTGATCAAAATGTTTTTGTGTCCAAAATAAACTGACGATATTTATAAAACACAAGCCATCTTGCCCATAACCAACCAAACCAAACCGTTGATAAACGTTTGGCTATTGAATTAATGATTGGCGCCAGTATCTTTCCACACCTATTTTTTTCATTCAAAACAAAAAAAAAAACATCAAAAGAATCGATCCGATAAAACTGAAACGAAAAAGCCGACAGGAAAAATAATAATTACTGTTAAAACACTTGAGATTTCGGTACACATTTCCACAATGATAATGATGTTGATTGATTGATTGATTAGATTGAGAACAAATCCAATCAATTTTCAATCAAAATCAATCATCACTTTGCCTGTGTGATATGATAATCAAAGGTAATTTTTTTACATTGCTTTTTATTATTAATTAAAGAATTTCAACACTGATTTCAGATTAATTTATCATTTAGAAATCGTTGACATTGAAAATAATATTGATTGATTGATTTGATGTGAAAATTTACCTACAAAAATAAAAAAAAACAAACAATATTCTGGTGGACAAAAAGAAGAAGACTATTGAGCTATAAAATGTACAGAAGAGATCAAAATGAAATGTTTTGCTTTCGAATTGATTCGAATTTAAATCGAATCAAAAACAAAACAAAATTTCCAATGAAAATTGAGCAAATTCAGATTCATTCGATGTTATTATCTTTATTGATAAGCATCAATATCATCATCATCATAATCATCATCTTGATCACTTGATGATAATTTTCGTAATGTTTTTGTTATAGTTGTTGTTGATGATTGATTTAAAATTGATTCATTGGAATTTTTTTGTAAAAATGCATCAATTATATTGTTTAATAAACCTAAACGTTTAGCTTCTTCCAATAAATCTTGCATATTTTGTAATTTTTGTTCATCGGTCATCATTATTATTGGTTGTGTTGTTGTTGATGATGATAAATTAGAAGTTTGAATCGATTTTTCATCAATAAATAATGAATTTTCCATTGTTTCATCATTCGTATCAATAATCGTTGCAGTTGATGGTGATTGATTTGGAAAACAAAATTCACATTCAATTTCATCCCATTCAAGTTGTTCGCTTGTTGATATAAAACTTTGTCGACTTGAACGTCTTTGTTCCAATTCAAGTGATTCATCATCATTGTCAACATTATTACTTAGTGTTTGCTGTGGTTGATTCTGATCATTTGCTTTAAAGGTGGTCATCATTTGATGATTAGAATGATAATCATCTTTTGTCGTCGTAGAATAATTTCGACGTTTTCGATATATTGATTTTTTCCTTCGACTATCCATTGACATATGATTTGTCATTTTATTAGATGAAATCGGTTCACAATCGGATAATGAATCATCATCATCAAACCAACCAACATTGGATAATGTTAAAAAATCTGGATTAAAATTTGCATATTTCGAACCGGTTACATGATAAAGTTCATCATCAATTTCAACAATTGATTTTTTAATATCATCAATTTGATGTAAAACTTGATCAATTTTATCAACAGTTTTTGATTGAAAAAATCGATTATTAATACGATTATTATCAATTATATTCGGTGAATCATTAATATTATTATTGTAATTATTATTGTTGTAATTGTTGAATAAATCATCATAATACTTGTTATATGTAAACTGATAATCATCATAATCCGAACTAATAGTCATTGTATCGAATGCTGAATCATTTGATGTTGTTGGTAATAATGATGATGTCGATGATGATGATGATGATAATGATGTTGGTTTATGATATTTACGGAATATTTTTCTCATATTATCATACAGTTGTTGTTGTTGTTGTTGTTGTCGTCTGGATTCATTATCATTGTGAAAATTTAAAAATTTCAATAAATTTCTGGTTAATTTTAGGATACGATCACGATTAACACCTAAATGATAACCAATCAATGCACTTAAACCAATAATTACACCCCATGATGATGCACGATTAACTAGATTTATAAAAGAAATTAATTAAAAATTACGAATTTGTGCCAAAAAAATTCATAAAAACAAACCTAAATGATCATAACGAATAATTAAACGTAAACCACAATCAGGACATTCTGTTGTCAATGTTTGTGTACGTTGAAATGCATATTCTAATGATTTTGTTAAACAAATATGACCAGCTTTTTCCATCATTCTCTTTCATCAGGATTTATTCATTTAAACAAAAACCAAAACAAAACAAAAGGAAGAAAATTTTGTGATGCTGACAATCTAATCGATGATTGATTTGATTTGTTTATTTTGTCAACCAAATGTGGAAAAAAACTAGAAATTTATCATCATCATCATCATATCAAATGGGCCATATTATCATTAATTATAATATCATTATTTACAATAACTTTATTTTTGTTGTTGATTACTTTTATGGTTGATAAACTTTGATAATTATATTAATGACGACTATACGATCTGTATGAAAAATGTTTGAATTTATAATCATCAAATTTCACATCAGCAATGAAAAGTTGAATAATGAATTGTCGAAAAACATCATCAAGAATCAAGAATCAAGAATCACAGAATATCAATTTCACTCACAAAAGTAGATGTGAGTGAATGATGTGTGTGTGTGTTTATCATTTGTTGTCGATTCTTTGTTCGAAATATGACTTTGATGCTTTTATTCTCTAAAATTGTAACGGTTGTAGCGGTAATTCGGGTGTTGTTATTGTGGTGGTGGTGGTGGTAACCGATGGGTGTGGGTATATCATCCATATGATCAATGAAGATTTCGGTGTTTCTGCACTGCACTTGGATGCCGAAAAGAAAATGGAAAAAATCTTAGACCAACTTTAATGGAAAAAAACTGACATTTCTTATCTTATTTTGATTGACACTTGTTGTTGTAATCATTTTTTTTATTTATTTTTAAAAAAGCGATAATCCCGTCAAAGTTTAGTTAAATCAACCTTTCTTTTTGTTTTGATTTGATTTACTGTGACATTTTGTTTGTTTGTTTGTTTTGTTTCCAATTCTATTACGAAACACACATACAAACTTACTTAACCTTCGAATCATCATCCTTCGAATAATGTTATTTAATGATGACATTGATGATGTTGATTTCACTTCATGTACCGTTACTAGGTTGTTTCGTTTTTCTATAAAATTATGTCAGCAAAAAAACAACAACGAAAAAAAAAACAGAAAAAATCATCCGATTGCCACCAGACTTTTATTTTAAGATTTTTTTTCGTGAATTCAATGAGGAAAAAAACAATGTTCGAATGATTTTTCTGCTGTTGTTGTTGTTGTTCATGGTGATGATATGATCAATGACGTTGTTGAAAAGCAAATTTTAGAAGAAAAAAAATTCGTAAAAAAGAATGAAAAAACCTTTATTCATTCATTCAGTTTTTGGCACCTGATTTTACAATTTTAATTATGAAAGAAATTTTATTTTAAAAGAAAAAATTGTTTTTTTGGTTTTTGGTTTGGATGCTTGAAAAAAAAGAGTTAAATTAAATTAGATTTTTTTGTGGTTGTTCGGTTGTTTTGTTTTGTTTTAAAATTCATATTCCGAAATGAATATTGTTATAATGGCTAAATTTTTACCAATTTGTAAACCATTTTTATACATTTTAGCTTCAATTTCTAATTCAATATCCTGTGGTCCTTCTAATGATGACATTATTGCTAAACGTACTTCATTATCGGCTGTACGACGCATTTCAAAATCATTTAGATTAGCTGAACGTACACCTGGTCGTGGTGATTTTACCGATACTAAACGTAATTTAAAATCAACAATAATTGGTAATTCAACCGGTACGATAAATGTAAAGAATTCATGTCCACGACCATTGATTACGGTTGATGGACGTTGTTGTTGATGTTGTAAACGTTGTACAGTAACAGCCGATTGATAACGATTAGTTTTTATATCAGATTTTGTATCACCTTTTGTTGTTATTGTTGTAATCTGTTGTTGTTGATGATGTTCAATATGTTCATGTTGTTTAATCATACGTGAACGGAATGCAATATATGCATATGAATAACAAATAATACGATCAATTGAACAAACTTCAGTTGGATCATCACATATTTCAGCATAATTTAATCGTTGACTTATTTTACATTGTCTAATTTATGTGGGGAAAAAAAGAAAAGAAGGTAACAAGGTAACCACAAAAACAAACAAACAAACAAACAAACATACACTCCATCTTTATGATAACCAGGTGGACAACGATCATCAACACAACGGAAACTACCACCAATATTAACACATGATTGATTTGAACCACGACAATAGCCAAATTCTTGACATTCATTAATATCTAATATAGAAAGAAAGAAAGAAAGAAAGGTAAAAGAAAATTTTAAAATTCAAAATTACAGGAATCAATTACAGGACAGGTGTGAACATCACATTTTTTTGAAAAAGGAATGACAATGACATAAACATAGCATGCATGTCAATCAACAATCAACAAAAAACAAAGAAAAAAGTAAAAAAAGTAAAAAGTCAATTATCATTGGCCAAAGAAATGATGATGATGATGATGATGATAATTACCAATGTCATGTATTAACTTAATTATAATTATTTAATGATAATTATAATAATAATATTTACTTACCAATACAATGATGATTATGTACTAAATTATAACCATTTGGACATGTACAACGATATGAACCAGCTGAATTTTCACAACCACCTTGACATAATTTTGGATGACCATCATTATCATCATGACGGAAACGACTAAATGCAATATCATTAATAAAATCACCTTCATGACATTCATCAATATCTTCACAACGATGTGGTCCAACTGGACGATAACCACGATTACATTGACATTTATATGAACCAAATGTATTCAAGCATTTTTGTTCACAAAGATTTGTTTGTTCTAAACATTCATCAACATCTGTACAATGTTTACCGGTACCATCAGGATCACGAAAACCAGTACGACAACGACAACGATATGAACCGATTGTATTTTCACATACGGAAACTTGTGGTGAACAGATTCCTGTTTGTGAATATTCACTACATTCATCAATATCGACACAAGTATGACCATCAGAACTTAATTTGAAACTGAAGAAAAAAAAATTAAAATCATTACAAATTAAAGGGTTATCAATCATTTATCAAACAAAAAACACTTACCCATCTTTACAATGACATTCATATGAACCATATTTATTAATACAACGTTGTGAACAACCACCATTATTAATAAGACATTCATCATAATCAGTACAACGACCATTATGATCTTTTTCAAAACCACGTTTACATTTACAATAATATGATCCGGGTGTATTTTCACATGTAGATACATCATGTGGACAAAGATGATCATGTGATTCTAGACATTCATTAATATCAATACATTGTTGACCATCAATACGGAAACCATTTGGACATTCACAACGATATGAACCAGGTGTATTAATACATTGTTGTTGTTGTCCACAACTATGTAAACCTTCTAAACATTCATTAATATCTTCACAGGTATTATGTAGTTCATTTAATCGATGACCAGCTTGTGTACAGATTTTTCTACAAACATATGATCCATATGTATTGATACATTGTTCATCCCGAAGACAAGCCGTTTCAACCGTACATTCATCAATATCAATACATTTTAATAAAGAATCACTGAATATAAATCCACTTTCACAATCAATATGTTTACAATGAGTGCCATCTGATGATAGATAATGACCATCAGGACATGCAGTTATACGTAATGATACAGTTGGTTTCTGTATTATTTGATGTATTTCTTCAACATGTACGATTGGTGGTGGTGGTGTTTTTAAATAATGATGTTCTTCGATAATTCTTTCAAATTTTTGTTGTACAACGGGTTTCTGTACGATACGTTCAAATTTTTGTTGTACAATTGGTTGTTTTATCTGTGTTATTTGTTGTTCAAATTTTTGCTGTACAATTGGTTCCTGAACAATTTTCTGTTGTACAATTGGTTGTTGAACAGTTTTCTGTACATAAGTTTCAAATTTTTGTTGTACAATTGGTTCCTGAACGATTTTCTGTTGTACGATTGGTTCTTGAACAATTTTCTGTTGTACAATTGGTTCTTGAATGATTTTTTGCTGTACAATTCTTTGTGGTGGTGGATGATATTTTTCAATACGTCTTTCGATTATTTTCGATGGACTTGGTGGTATTGGTGAATGGCTAATTATCCGTGATGAACTTGAAGACGAAGACGAAGAAGATGATGCTGATGATGATGATGAATAGGATGAATATTGTGAACGATGATTTGATGGTGATGATGATGATACATATGTAATCGGTGGTGATACATATGTTTCATGTATTATTGATTCACTTTGTAATGGTTGATTTGATCGTTGAATTGGTGCAATCAAACGATACATACGACAATCAATACCACCTGGACGACATCTTTTTACACGTGTAAATTGTAATGGTTTTTTATTATTAAATTGATGATGATTATAATTTGGAACTATTTCCACATTAAATGATTGATCTAATGATGATATCACTAAATTGATTGATTAATTAAATTAATATGGGTGAAAAAACAACTTTATTTACAATCAAATTAAAAGAAGAAAAATACACTTACCAAATAGAAAAAATAAAATTACCGATCTTGTTGAAATCATCGTGTTCAATCAATTGGAAAACCAAACAGGAGAGAAACAAAAAAAAACAAAATGAAAATCCTTTATTGAAAAGATTTATTTCAATTACTGATTATCGATCAGAATCGATTGAATTTATCAAATGAAAAAACGTTTTCAAAAAAATTAGTATTTTCTCCTTTTTCACCGAATTTGGCAATTTCAAATCACACACATACCAAAATGATTAAACTAACTAAGCACTGACTGAATGAATGAAAGTGAAAATGAATCGGATGTTTGTTGGTATGAGGTGTAGTGTACATCATTCATTCATTCATTCATTCATAATGATTATTCACAATATAGATTGATGACAAACAAACAAACAAACATTTAGTGATAGAATAAATGAGAAAAAAAAAGGTGTAGCGTGGGCGAACAACAACAACGGCGATGATATTGAATTGGTGAAAATTTCTATGTGAATAATTGTATGTGAAAGGTGGTGTTTTTTAAAAATTGTCAATGTTGAACAACAACAACAAAAAAGAAAGAAGAAGAATCGAATGATACAAGAGGGACGGAAATACCAAGTGAAATTTTTCTCTCTCCCTCTCTCTTTGCAAATTCTTGGAGCCATCATTCATTGATGATAATGATGCTGGGAAGAAATATGCAGACTATAATTGTCATCGTGATGATTATTATCATCATCATCATCCTAAACATAATCATCGTAATAAAATGTCCTCGTCTTGATGGTCATCAGAATAGCAACAACAAAAATGACGACAAAATTTTTTTTTAAAAAAAACCCAAGAATCAAATTTTCAAAAATAATTTCCAATACGCCCACACACACACATTCAACTGATTAACCAATCATCATCATCATTTGAAAAAAATATTATCAATATTTTTTTGAGTAACCTTGAGCTTGAAATTTTGATTTAGTTTTTTTTAAAAAATAAAACAACAACAGAAGAATAAAGTAAAATTTTTTAATCAATTTTTTAAATTTCGATTTGGAAAAACAAATGGAAATTTGAAATTCTGAAAAGAAACAAAAAAATACATTTTTGAAATTGATTTTCTTCTTCGAGAGAAAATACAAAAAATTTCATATACAAGGTCGATTCGTGGGTAGTTGGTTTGGCTGGTTGATTTGATTGATTTGATTTGAAATGGATATACCCGCTTCATTTTGAAAATAAAACAATCCAAACATTGATAAAACAAATATACTTTAATCGTTGTGTTAATCATCATCGTCGTCATTATTGCTGTTGTTGTTGTCCTCGCACTTGATCATTNATAGAATAAATGAGAAGAAAAAAGGTGTAGCGTGGGCGAATAACAACAACAACGACGATGATATTGAATTTGGTGAACACAAAAAAATTTCTATGTGAATAATTGTATGTGAAAGGTGGTGTTTTTTAAAAATTGTCAATGTTGAACAGAAAAGAAGAAGAATCGAATGATACAAGAGGGACGGAAATACCAAGTAAAATTTTCTCTCTTTCTCTTTTCAAATTCTTGGAGCCATCATCCATTGATTTGATGTTGTGACAATAATGATGATAATGCTTGGAAGAAATGCAGACTATAATTGTCATCGTGATGATTATTATCATAATCATCGTAATAAAATGTCCTCGTCTTGATGGTCATCATTGAAAAACAAAATGTGACAACAAACAAAAAAAAACCCAAGAATCAAATTTTCAAAAATTATTTCCAATACGCCCACACACACACAACTGATTAACCAATCATTTGTATTATCAATATTTTTGAGTAACCTTGAGCTTGAAATTTTAATTTAGTTTTTTTAAAAACAACAACAGAAGAAAAAAGTAAAATTTTTAATCAATTTTTTAAATTTCGATTTGGAAAATCAAATGGAAATTTGAAATTCTGAAAAGAAACAGAAACATCAAACATTTTTGAAATTTATTTTCTTCGACAAAATACAAAAATACAAAAAATTTCATATACAAGGTCGAATCGTGGGTAGTTGGTTTGGCTGGTTGGTTGATTGATTTGATTTGAAATGGATATACCCGCTTCATTTTGAAAATAAAACAATCCAAATATTGATGAAACAAGTATACTTTAATCGTCGTTAATCATCGTTAATCATCATCGTCATTGTTGCTATTGTCCTCGCACTTGATCATTGATGTTTTATTTTCGAAGGTAATTTCACTTACCCACCAACGCTATTTCTTTTTTTATAATTTCTTCATTGAATCTAAGGTCATGTGATTGGCATTGATGAGAAAATTCCCAGAAAAAACTCTGCTGGAAATTTTTCTCAAAAAAAATTTTCCCGCTTATTTTCATTTCAAATAAAACATCCGGTTAGATAAATTAACAAATTAGTTTTGGTTTCCAAATACTAGATGGCGATGTAGTTCTCTTTGATTTGAAAATCCTTCAAATTTTCAAATTTTCATTTCGATGATAATGATTCATCCACATGTTTGGAAATGTCACAGGTTTACAAGGATTTTTTTTCCCCATTAAAATCATTGCTATTTTCACACTTTCACTTTTGAATTCATCAATAATAATGATAATGATCAATCATCATCTAAATCAAATGATTGATTGATTGATTAATTGATCAAAAAAATGATGGTCAAATTTTGTTGTTTTTTTTTGTGTTTGCATTTTGTTTGAATTTCTATGTAAAAAAATGATTGCAGAATTCACAATTTTTGATTAAATCAAGCGAAAAAGAAGAGATTTTCATGGTCTATTTGTCCATTATGTTTGTTAAATTATCATCAAATCAAATTAACCAACTAACTTCGATTAGAATCAAAATGATCAAAATCATCATTGCATGATGGTGGATACCGATCAACAAAAATCTTTCTTTTTTTTACAAAAAAAAATCAAATTTGATATTTTCTTCTTCGTTGTTCGACAACAACAACAACAAACAATAGTTAGATAAAACTGAAGAAAACTTTCATAGCCAAAAGAAGAAAGAAAAGAAAAGAAAAACCTTTTTCCATAAAAAGACAATATAGATAAGAAGCTTATTTACGTTTAAATTTCCCTAAAGTCGTACGAATAAAGAAAATTTTTGCACATTTTTGACTCTATTTCGCTTCCTTAAGATTTTTCTATTTTTCTTTTTGCTTTTTGGTTATTGCTGGCCAGCATAAAAAAGGAAAAATCCATCCAAAGATAGTCCGATTTATTGTCCTGAAACAACACAAATATGGTCATATAGTTTTTTTTTCATTTATTTATTCATAGAATTACCATTTCAAACCATGATGATCGACAAAAACGATAGAAAAAAACAAACAAACAAACAAACAGTCCGGACAAAAAAGGATGCTTACTCTTTTCATTTTCTCTCTCTGTCTTTCTCTGTCACTTTTTTCTCTTTCCGAAAAAATTTTTCATCTTTTCTCCATATGACTCTTTCATTTGATTTTTCCCAAATGGTTCCACATTTAACGAAGAAGAAGAAAGGAAAAAATTGATTTCCAAATATAAAATACCACCATCAAACCACCAGAACAATCGACCGAATCGAAAAAAATGGTATTTTGATTTTTTTTGTATGCAAATAATGATGATGATTGAAAACCAAACGAAAACAACAACCGTTATTAATACCGTTATCATTTGAACAACAAAAAAAGAAATTGAGGACATATAACCGTTATGTTTCAATGAAATTGTGTATTTTGTGCGTGTGTGTATGTATTGTGTGTATGAATGGTGAATGACAATCAACATTGACGATGATGATGATGATTATGTAATGTGTGAAATTATTACATAAATGAAATTAGTGAAGAAAAAAAAAGTCAAGACATGTTTGCGAAGAAAAACAGCCAACTGAAGAAAAATAAATTCATTCAACCGATTCAATAAATGAATAACAACAACAACAGCAATGTTGAACTTGTAAATAACGACAAAAAAAATTTGTTAAATTAATTTAGTTTCGGGCCAAATGTTTTTCGTTTGGCCAAATAAAACAAACAGAATCGACAACATTTTGAATAATAAAAAAGATCCGTGTGAAAAAACTAAAATTATAACATTTTTTTCCTTTTTTTTTCTTCAACATCATCATTGGAGATCTGATCTGAATATATAAAAAACACATTGAAATTGATCATTGATCATTGATTATCACCAAATTTTTTCAGGGGTAAGTTGTGTTTTTGTCTGGTCTGTATTTTCTTTAACAATTTTTTTAAAATGAATTTTCAGTCAGCAAGAATTGAAACGATCCGTACAAAATTATGGCCGTTGATAGTATGACCAAACAACGTATTGTCAATCATCAACAAGATGATGATGATAATAAGGGAAAAAATGATTCGTTAACAAAAGTTAATGAACATAATTTTCGTACAAATTATGATGATGATAATAATGATCATCGAATATTGAATGAATCATTGATTGATGATGATTTTGATGATGAAACAAATACAATCAATGAAATTGAACAAAAATTATCAACAGTACAATGGAATGATATTGTTTGGCGTAATGTTATTGCATTAACAATTTTACATTTATTAGCTATTTATGGTTGGTTTTTATTTGTAACCGATATAAAAATTAAATGGCAAACAAGTTTTATAACATTTATATTGGGTTTATTTTCATCATCATTTGGTATAACGGCTGGTGCACATCGTCTTTGGTCACATCGTTCATATAAAGCAAAATGGCCATTAAGGTTTGTATTTTGCTTGTATTTCTATTTGTTGTAATTAATAATTTGTAATTTTTTTTGTACAAAATAGATTAATATTAGCATTTGCCAATACAATAGCCTTACAGAATGATATTTATGAATGGTGTCGTGATCATCGTGTACATCATAAATATTCGGAAACAAATGCTGATCCACATAATTCAAGACGTGGTTTTTTCTTTGCACATATGGGCTGGTTATTGGTTAAAAAACAAAATGATGTTAAAATAAAAGGTAAATATTGAAGCAAAAACAGCAAAAAATGTTCTGCCAATCATAATCATCATCATCAATCTGCAATTAAGTGGCCAACAAAAAAACAAATTTAGAAAAGTGTGTGCGGTTTGTGTTTGTGTTTACCTCAAGTGTCAACCTGATTTTAAGCCCAAATTGAAATCGATTTGAATTTTAACAGATTTTCTTCATTTTGTTTTTTAACTGTTGTCCGTTTCATTTATTCATTCATTGACACAATGAATAAATCAAACAACGATGCTTCCATAGGTTATTATTAGACATTTTTTTACAACAAAAATCTGTCAGATATTTTCACATAGATTTTTTGCGTAAGGCGAAATATGATCCCTGACATAGTCAAAAAAGAACAGAGATAGAAATTGATGGTGGTGGATTGGATTCGAATGACCACCACCACCACCACCATCATATTATTTGACCATTTCTTCATTGCTTTTTTTGATTGATTGTTCTTTTGTTTGATGATGATGATGATGATGATGATAAACATGAAAAACTATGACGATGACGATGACGATGACGATTACAATCACGATTGTACAAGTGGATTCAAGTATTTTTTGATTTTCCTTCCTATTATTTAAATCGAAAATGGTCAATACTTGTGATTTTCTTTCATTCATTGATTAAATTGATGAAAAATTCATTTCATAATACTGATGATGATGATGATGATTATGGCAGGGCCTGCTGTCAGTATTGATGATGATAATTTGCATTTTGATTATTTAAATTCAAAATTTTGATTTTGTTGTTGTTGTTGACAACCACAAGGCCATTTTCTTCATTTTGGATTTAATTTTGAATTTTTATTGAATTTTTAATTTTGGAAAAAATTCCTGCAACTAATCAATCAATCAATCGATCAATTTTTCCTCTTTCTCCCTCTCCCTCTCCCAAATGATAATGAAAATAGGTAAAAATATTGATCTATCGGATATATGGGCCGATCCAATTGTACGTTTTCAACGTCGTTTCTATATACCATTGGTTATTGTTTGCTGGGGAATTATACCAACATTAATACCATATTATTGTTTCAATGAAACATTATGGCATTCATTTTTAGGTTGTGTTTGTTTTCGTTATGTTTATGTATTACATTGTACATGGTTAGTAAATAGTGCTGCACATCTTTGGGGACATCGACCATATGATAAAAATATTCAACCAAAAGAAAATGATTCAGTTGTTTATCTAACATTTGGTGAAGGTAAATTGATTATTATTTATTTTTAACAATTTCATTAAAATCAAATTATTAGATTTAAGTATGTTTTAAACACTTGTTAATCAGTCAATGTTTAGTCTTAACAAAATGATGAAATCAAATCTTTAACATTGTATTAATATCTGTATGTAATCTGGCAACCAGATTTATCATCTATATCTGGTTACCAGATAATTATTACCAGTCAACAAACACAGACACAAATATAATATGATTATCTAACTTAACTGTAATTGACAATGTAACTCTGATTTCATTTATTTATTTTTTTTACTTTTTGATTTATATTTGACAAACAACAACAACAACAACAAACATTCTAGGCTATCATAATTATCATCATACGTTTCCATGGGATTATTCAGCAAGCGAGTATGGTTGTTATTATAATTTTAATTTAACAACATTGATTATTGATTTATTTGAACGTTGTGGTTGGGCATATGATCTAAAAAAACCATCAAATGAAATGATTATAGCAAGAAAATTTCGTACAGGTGATGGTACAGAAAATCTACAATTACGAAGAAAAAGTTTATTCGATTGGTTAATGGGTATATTTATTGTAACATCAAATTTAATTTTGACATTAATGCTGCGAGAAATTTATCAATATTTGTTCAATTGAAATCACAATTAGCAACAGCCACAACAACTTATCAATTATCAAATTATCAATTTTACAATTTTTAATCAAACTTTTTTGTATTTCGAAATGTCAATTTGCCATCATTTAACAATTTTTTTTCTGGTTCAACACTGCTGCTGTCAAATTCATTATTTTGTTCAAGTTTCTTTCATTTAATTGCTCATTCACCTATTAAAAGTGGATTTTTTTGAATTTTGAATTGTGTTCCAACCCTTTTTTTCTGAAAAAGTTTTTTGTTACATTTTAAATCAATAAAACACGTGTGTTTTGTCAATTTTCTATAAATATTGCCAATAACCATCGATAGATGGCAGTACTTTTGATTCGAATTTGTTTCCGTTTTTTGTTTTGTTGTTTCAAATTTGTTTTGGTATTTTTGTCTTTCTTTCTCTCTCACTCTTTTTCAATAATCAAATAACAGTTTTGTCTTTCTTTTCTTGTGATTTTCAATGAAATGAATTGAATAAAAATGATTTGTGTGTTTGTGTGTTTGTGTGTTTTGTTTATAAATGATGATAGTGCGGAAAAATTCTAATAAACAAATGAAATGAAATGAAATGAACAAAGCAAAACAATCAATTGGTTTTGTTTCATTTCTTCATCTCTACCGATACCTGTGCTGTTGATGATGATGATGATGATGACATCGAAATGAAATGATTAAAACAGCAGAAGAAGAAAAAAATGGAATAATTTTATTCATCTTGGCGAAGGATGATGATTTACGAAAGAATTTTCAACTCTTTTTCTCTGGCTATTTATTTTTTTCGTATACGTCATCTGTGCATGCGACATGTTAGCATTCGAAATCAAAAAAAAAAATCGAATGTTTTAGCAAATCACCGGTATTGTAACTGAACAAAAAAAAAACCAGATTCATTTGATGAATTAAAATCTAATGATTATGATTCAAGGAGAATGAAAAGTATATTGAAAAATGAAATAAAAAGTACAGTTTTTTCATCATTATCATCATCTGCAAATTGATTTTTGATTGTAGTTTTTATCGGTTTTAAAGTGTTTTCATTTCATTTCATTATTTGACCAAATTCAAATATTATACTATTTATAAACATTGAATTTGAAACAAAATAGAATGGAATTTTGATTGTTTTGTTTTGTTGTTGTTGTTTAAATCGCGGTCATCATCATTTCGGTCGGTAAATATTTGATATTTTCCATCGTCATCATCATTATTTGATGACATAGATTGTTGTATGCATACGCAACAACAACAACAACAACGCCAAGGTAAGTTATCCAAAATAATGTTTTTCTTTACCTTTATTTGAAACATTTCCCTCCTGATGTTTTCCGTTTTCTTCTTAAATATATTGATTTTATCGATTCGATTCTGAATTTTTCTTGAAGGGGAAAAATTTCAACCTTGTATTTTTAATGTATATGGATATAGATTCTATGATCAAGCATTTTTTGTTTTGGTTTTTGTTTTTCTCATTGACATTTGATTGATTAATTATGGATGTTGGCAAATTTTTTTTGTTTGTACAAACTTATAATTGAAAATAACAGCAATTCGTTGATTCGAAAAATGTTAATTTTATTGAAATTCTTAATGTCTTTGTTTTTTTGTTTGATTCTAAGGAAAATCGATAAACCTTGAATGTTCTTAATCATCGTCATCATTATCATCATCGTTATAACATTGTAACGATTTTTGATTGATAAATCAATGGGTTATATCATTTCATTATTTTTTTCCATCACTGATTCTAGAATTTTTCTGGTTTTTTTTCCTTCAAAAACAGTTTTGATTATAGGCCACACCTGATAAAATTACTGAATTTTAAAGGTTTAAAAGGTAAAATGTTAAAAGATTTTCAAAATATCTACTTATAATCACACAGCCAAGCACTATGATATTTAAGTGATTGAAAATGAAAACAAACAAAACATATAAAGCCCATTGCCATTTGCTTTTGGCATTTTAAAAAATAAAAAAGATAAAACGGTGAGAAACGATAACTGAATTTTCTTTTCTTTTTTGAAACGTTTTAGCGTATAGTGTAAGTATGATGAACGATAGAGAAGGAAGGGAGAGAGAGAATCAAGAACAAGATATTTTGTTGAAACATCACAAGAGGTATTCATTGATTCATTCAAATGTTGTTGTTGTTGTTGATCCACTTGATCATTAAAATCATCAACAATTATGATTTATTCAGCAAATATAGCCAAATGTCAATATATGATGATGATGATGATGATGTGAATACACACGCGAAACCGTTGATAATGTTGTTGTCGTTGATGATCAGCTCAGCTCAATGACAATCAATTTTGGGATGATAATGGTGATATGGCCATTGTCATTGACAGCAGTAAATAAATAAAAAACAAATTTATTCATTTTCTTCATGTTTATCGCCATTTTCTTATCGTTTTTGTTTTTTTTTTTTGGCTTGAAATTATTCCTAATCACGAAACCGTTTGATGATGATGGGTTTGTTTGTTTGTTTGTCTGACTGTCTGTCTGTTTGTTTTTTTTTTTAATTTCTGATTTTTTTTCGGCTATAAATTAATCAATCAAAATGGTCTTTTTTTTCTTGATTTTTTGATGATGATTTGGTGATCTTTTCTCACGTGATCAGTGTTGTATTTCGCAAAAAAAAAAACAATTTATGTGTTTTTCTGTTCCAAAAACCTACTATTTAAGAGTTGAATTCTGTTTCAATCCATTTCATTTGTGAAAACAAAAATTTTGTGTTTCCCCTGTTTTCTTCCTGAAAGAAAACAGGAATTTAAGTTTGTTTGTTTTTTTCTATTTCCAAAGTAATTCCGTTCAATACGATTCCAGATAAAAAGACGTCATCCACAACAACAACAACGATCGTCGTTTACGTCATAATAGTTTGTTTTGTTGAATTTGAATTGAAAAAAAATTGATAAAAATTTTTCCACTAATCACTGCAGTGTGTACTTGAAAAAAAAGTACACATTGATATATATTGAATTTATTCAGGTAATTTTGAGTTTTTTTTTCTAATTACCATTAGTACCAAATGATAATTAGAAAAATCTGGTTTTTGGTTAAAAATAAAGAATCCTTTTTTCAACTTACCTTGCGGCTAAATATTGAAAAAGGCAGAAAAATTGTAAATAAAACTGAAAAATTGTTGTCATTTTGCCTTTCTAAAATAACTAACGCTTAATCTTGACATCATTGATATTTTCGCTTGTATTGATGTAATCATAAATTTTGATGATGTAAAAGTTTATCTTTTTCATTTTTCTTCCTTCTTCCATTGTATAATGTTTAAAGTTTCTGTCTTTGCTTTTCCATTCATTTCATATTAATGATTTTTCTATTATTCTTTTCATTGATTAGGTTTATCATTTGGAAAAATTTGATGAAAAAAGAAGCCTCAATCAAATACATAATAATTGTATCTTTCAATAATACATAATAAAACCGACAAAAGTGATAATAATGAATAAAGAAAATGGTCATCTAAATATCGATAATAATATTATATCATCAACATTGACATCGACATCATTTCCGAATGTTAACCATTTGATTGATAGTAGTAATAGTAATTGTTACAGTAGTGGTGATAGTGATAATAATAATTTAGAACATCAACATTTTAACAACAAAAAAATCATTTCCGATACTAATGTCGGTCTTAATTCAACATTTACATTAATGGATAATAATGTACAACAACAACAAACATATGAATTGAACAATATTATTATGAAAAATGATGATGACGTTGTAGAAAAATTACGCAAACAACCTGATATTGAAATAGAATCAACAACAACAACAGCAATGAATTCAGTACAGAAAACAAACGACAAACAAAAACATTCACAGAAACAACAATTGAATACAAATGAACTGTCGAATAGACCATTAACAACAATGGTTACGACATCAATACCGGAACCAATATCATCTGATTCAAATAAGATAACAACAATGAATAATAATAACAACAATAATAATAATGAAAAACATCAGTCTCATCAACAGCTACAACAACAACAACAACAACAAGAAAAACGTTCAATGTTTTTAACAATCGATCATAAATTGGCCATCAGACGACGTAATATTGGTGCTATTCGTTCATATGAAGAATGTGAAATTATGTCTTCGAATGTTCCATCAACAATTTCGACATTGAAATCATCTACAGATGATATATCAAAATCAATGACCATTTTGTCTTCCAATGATATTAATAATAATAATAATGATAAAAAATGTTTAACATCAGAATTTGTAAAGAATAGAATTTCTTCATTACAACAAAATATGTCCGTTATTAACAACGATAATGATAATATTAATATAATGGATTTGGATAATCAAAATCAACAACCATTAATTCATGAATCAGAGGTAAGTGTAGTGTAATCGTTTTTTTTAAAATTATATTTCTAAATTGAAATTTCAAAAGAAAATATTTCAATCAAAATCATTGAATGTTTGAATTTAGATTTCACTTGAATTTCAATTTAGATTTGATTGATTTTTTACACTTGAATGTTGTTGATTTCAAAAACGAAAAAAAAAATTGGAAAATTCCCACTTGAATCTTTATTTTATTCAAGAAATTTAATCAAGGAAAAAAAATCAATTAAAATTTTTCACTATTATTATTTCTGATTACCAAAATTGGTTATCTGTTTATCTTGAAATTTTTCATCATTTTATTTTGGTGATAAAATAAACAGGTGCCTGACACACAATCTTCAATCTTTTTGTTTTGTTTGGTTGCACATATCAACAAAACAAATGATCATGACCGCCATTGTGGTTTTGTTTTTCGTATATTGATTGTTTGTTTGTTTTTGTTTTTCTTCAATTTGTTTTGTTTAAAATTTCACTAATGTTATCCGATCATATGACGATTTTTTTTTATATTCTTGACAGTGAGAAGGTGTGAGATTTTTTATTTATTTATTTGCTTCTTTCATCATCTATCATCTAATTTCAAGGATATTATATTGTTGCCATGAATTTTCTGATTGATTTGATTTTTGTTCTTTTCCCCCCTCTCCTAGTATCGATGATTTTCTTTTTTAAATGAAAGATTGTGATTGTTGTTTAAATCATCAACATTGATTTTTTAAAACAAAAAAAAAGTCAAGAAAAATCCAATTACCAAGAGATATCTGGGTCGATCTTTTTTTTAAAAAATCTTATTTACGAATGTCAAGGACTAACCGTACTCGTTACATACTCCATGATTATTTTTTTTGTTCGTTCATTTGTTGTACAGGTTTTTCATTCATTTATTTTATTTCTGGTTTTTTCCGTTTCCCCTCAACAAAAAACAAAACAAATCATGAGCATCTTGTAAATGTACAATGAATCTGGTTGCGGTTAAGTTTTCATCTTTTTTTTTCTTCATTTTCTCAGTAAAGAATTGAATACGCGTATGATAATCAGGCAACCTATTTACAGTTTTTTTTTGTTGTAAAATTATCAATTTTTGTTTCCGTCAAATTTTATTTTCAAATTTTTATTATTATCGATTTGTTGATAAACCCCAAAAACAAATTTTACTACCAAAACTTTTTTTTCATTTATAAACAAGTAATCAAAAAATTGATTTAACTTCCTCTTTTATCGTTTGTTTTCTTTTCTTTTTTTTCACCCACACATATGCAATATGGAACCGTAAAGAATATTTTTTAATTAGTTTAGTTTATTTAATTAGATATAAGGAAAGATGGTCAAGAAAAAAAACACTGTGTGAAAATGAAATTGTCCAGAAAAAAAGTGTTAGTCGAAAATTATCATAAAATTTCAATCATAAAGATGTTTGATTAGCCGATTTCATTTACTTTGCTCATCATTTTTTCCTCTAATAAGCTTTTTGGTTTAATTTTAAATTTGAAAAAAAAATTTTACTGAAAAAAATACCCATTAGAAAATATTTATAAATAGCAATCCTAGCCACGGCTAACAATGATCTCGAATATAATTCTATAATAACATTAAAGGTTTGAATAATTTTAGAAAATTTGTCTGATTTAAACAAATTCTGACTATACAATTTTATATCAGGATCGAATGGTAACATGAAAACAAAAAACAATCAAAGATTATAATGTTGATACCTGTAAATATCCTATCGATTCAATGTTATATATAGAGAGAGAAATATTTGGTATCCAGTAATGTTTGTTGTCGTTGTCCAAACAAGTTCCTTGTGTGTTTGGTCCTCAGGCACGGACCAATGTCATAAAAAAAAGATCTAAGCTTGTAAAAAAGTTATCATTTCATGCGGATAAACCTTTTTTTTTTGAAAAAAAACCTTTGTGATGACAAAAAAAATGTGTCATCCACAAGATAGCGATCAAATGATATTACCAATCATGAATTTATATTATGTGGACCACTATGTTGTACTTTCGACAACATTCTCACACACAATCATGATCATTTGACTATGGTCATCGATTGTGTGTGTGTGTATGTGTATGCATGTGTTTCAATTAACACAAGCCACAATCAGAATATCAACACATTTTCTTGTAAACAGTGAAAAAACATTAAAATCGGGGAATTTTTTTTCCATTCGAGTTGCCAATATTAAGATATACCCTACCTACATATCCAAGCATCAGCCATCTTTTATATTTTTTAATATTTTTGAAACAATGACGACAATAATAAGTTGTTGTTGTTGATGCTCTGTTCATCAGATCTAATCCATTCGTGTACCTCATCATCACCACCACCACCATCATCATAATCCAATCCAATCAATCAATCAATCAAAACCATCCTTCAATTAAACAAATGAACAATTACAACAATAACAACAACAACAGCGACAAATGATCGATTCATAACCATATACACGATGCTTTTTTTTCTACTACTTTTATTGATCATTAATAGATTAATAATATGATCAGATTGATAGACAGGGAAAAATTTTTTGTTTGAAAAGAAAACAGAAAGTTTCTACCAAAAAAAAAAATCATTCCGTTTATTCATTCGTTTAAATACAAAAGAAGAAGATTTTCTTTTTCTTTTCTTTTTCTTGTTCATTCTTTATGATTTTTTTATCATCGTCATTGAGTTGACAATTAATAAACACACACACACTATTCACATCTTTTTAAATATGTTTTAAAATGTTGATGTTTTTTAGTCATTTTTAATTTATTCATTCATTCATTTGTTTGATTGATTGATTCAAATTCGCTGTTGTTGAACCATATTTTTTGTGATTTATTTTTTTCTTTTGCTGATTTTGATCATTTTTTTACTTATTTATTTTGTTTTAATTTATATATTTTGGATCATAAATCAACGAAAATAATAATCAATCAACAATCAATCAATCAATCCGACCGATGGTCATTCTTAACACCTTAGCCATTAGCTCAAACATTTATTGAAAATTTGAAAAAAATTCTTACATTAGAAATAAATATGGGATCATTTATACGACGTTCATTAATAACCATATTTATGGCAATATTTATATCGGTCGTACAAACTTATACATGGATTACATTACCAATATATTATTTGTTACAAAAACCATGGTTAAAACGAAAATTAAATTTACGTAATCGAGTGAAAATTTATAATCCATCTTCAGCGCCATTGACCACAATTCCATCAGTTGAATCCGATTCTAACAATAATAATCAATCAATTAATAAACTTTCATTATCACCAATCTATATTCGTGATGATTGTGGTGAATATAATCATCCATTATATTCATTTAAAACAGTAAATGATATAATTGAAAATTTAACTAATCTTCATGGATCAGATCAACCATGTCTTGGTAAGTTGTTGTATTTGATTTGTATTTAATGATTTGTTTGATTTATTTTTTTTGTCCGTTGGGGAAATAAAAAAAAGGATATCGTCAAGTGCTTTCCGAAGAAATTGCACTCGATTCACAAGGTCAAGAAAGACGAATGGATGGTCGACAATTAAAACAATATCATCTAAGTGATTATAAATGGCTAACATATTCACAATTGGATGATATAAGAAATAATATTTCTCAAGGATTTATGTCAAATGGAATTAATAAATCAAGCCGTGTAATGATCATATCGGAAACACGTATCGAATGGATGATTTGTTTTCAATCATTAATTCGATGTGGTGCTACGTTAGCCACTGTATTTTCTAATCTAGGTAATTTAAAAATTTTTCTTTTAAAAAATTTCAATTTTAATTTTGTTTTTCAATCAACAGGTGTCGACGGTGTAGCACATGGTATTGAAGAAACCGAAGTGGAAACTGTGATTACATCTTTGGAATGTATTCCATTGCTAAAATCGGCTCTTAACCATACAAAAAAACATTGCGTAAACAAGATCGTTTATATGGATGGTCTACATAAACCGGATATTGATGTTGAAGAATCGATTAAAATATTTGCCTTAAGCGATATTGAAACAATGGGTAAACAAATAATTAAAGAAAATCGTCAACAACCATATCCATCTGCAAATATTGATGAACCAATGCTTATGATGTATACATCTGGTACGACTGGTCAACCAAAAGCTGCTACAATGACTCAACGTCAATTCTTGGGTTCAATACGTGCATTATTTGTGCTAGTCCGTCATATTATGCATGAAGCACCATTTCATACCTATGTTTCATATCTACCAATGGCACATGTTCTTGAACTTACACTTGAATTATTTTTCTGTTTTGGTAAGTTGATGAAATTTTGAAAGATTTCATTTTTAAAAAATATCTAATTTCTTGTTTTAGGCGGCGTTCGACTTGGTTATGCATCACCATTCACATTGACCGATTCTGCACCGGGCTTAGCACGTGGTCAAAAACCTGACATAAAATTGCTAAGACCTACCGTAATGACTACCGTACCATTAGTATTGGATCGTATTATCAAAGAAGTAAACGAAAAACTTCGTTCAAGAACACCGGTTTCACAACCAGTATTTCAATTTTTAATGAATTATAAATCAATGTGGACACGATTAGGTTATCGTTGTGATATTGTTAGTAAATTGTTATGTTCAAAAGTACGTGAACAACTTGGAAGTAATCTACATTTTGTCATTTGTGGTGGTGCACCATTGAATTCGAACACACAAGCAACGATAAAATCGGCTTTAGATGTAACATTGATTCAAGGTTATGGCGCCACTGAAACAACTGGTGCTGTTCTTTGTATGGATTTTGATGATCTCGAATATGGCCGTGTTGGTGCTCCACTTGGACAAGTTTATTTTCGTCTTCGTGATTGGCCGGACGGTGGTTATTCGGTTAAAGATAAACCAAATCCACGTGGTGAAATCCTTATCGGTGGTGATCTTGTTGCCATTAATTATTTTAAAAGACCCGAACAAACAGACGATGTTTTTATCACTGATGAAAATGGTATACGATGGTTTCAAACTGGTGATGTTGGTGAATTATATTCAAATGGTACGATCAAAATTATTGATCGTTGTAAAGATCTCATCAAATTACAGAATGGTGAATATATTTCACTTGGAAAGGTAAATTTGAGAAAAATTAAAAGTTTATAATCCATTGATTTTAATTTTAATTAAAATTTTCAACAGGTCGAAGCTGCATTAAAATTTTGTCAATTAGTAGACAATGTATGCGTATATGGTGGTACATTTTCCAATGATATTGTCGCTTTAATCAGTCCTAATCGTAAAGCATTGGAACAATTAGCACAATCTATTGGTAAAAATCATCTTTCAATTGAAGAACAATGTAATGATCCACAAATACAACAAATCACATTTAATGAAGTAATCAAAACGGCAAAACAATTATCATTGGGTAAAAAAGAAATACCAAGTCGTGTTCGATTAGTACCAGAGGTATGGTCACCCGATAACGGAATATTGACAGCAGCATTAAAATTAAAACGTCGTATTGTCGAACAAATGTATAAACAACAACTATATGATTTATATAATGCAAAAAAATTTAATATTATAACATCGAATGGATATGATCAGAATAATAATACGACGGCCAATGGTGGTGGAGCTAAACGTACAACAACAGTGACGAATGGATCAAAAAATCATACAGCATGATTTACATTTATCTTGGAAAATGGAAATCATTTTCAAAAAAAATGTTCATCATTATCATCATTCATATCATTGCCATTCATTCGTGATTTGACGAAAAAAAATTTAATATCGAATATTTTGTTCAATAATTTCGTAAATCGATTATTATTTAGATTTTTATATTTGTTTTTTATATATTAATTATTACTATTATTATCATCATCCTGACAATATCAATCGTTTTATCAATCGAATATCAATCATCATTTCACCAAATAATCATCCATAGTATTTTTTATATTATAATTGATAAAACATTGAATGAAAGAATTTTTCATCTTTTGATTTTATCATTATATTTTGAAATGGATGATGAAGTGGAATTACTGTGATTATTTTTTTTTTGTTCTATCGATTGATTACTAATTGATAATTAATAATTTCATTCATTCAGCCAAACAAATTACATTTTTTCATTCTAAATAAATATATATTGAAATAAATGACTTTTTTTTCTTAAAATTTGTTATATATAAAAAATATTCAAACTAATAATTCTTGTTTTTGATTACGTCATAACCAACCAACAACAACAACAAAAAAAAATGTCGTTTGAAACATTTATTGAAATCATGGAATGGAATGGGAATGGCCATGAAATTTCATTTCAATTTTCCTTTTTTTTCTCAGTTTCTGGTTTTGTTTATTTTTTGCTATTTGTTCTGAAAATGTTGTTTTTCAAAAAAAAAATTCTCAATTCCATTAAAAAAAAGAGAGATGGAGTGTTAGAGAGAAAAACAGAGCAATAAATGGAAATAAAACAATGTAAATATGGGTAATATACACAATGGTCAGTATTTTTTTCTCTTCCATCAAAATCAAAACGAAAAGTTTCTCTCAATTTCGATCTTATTGATCAAAAAGAAACCAAATGAAAAAAAAGAAACGCCTTCCGTTTTTTTTTGATAATGAATCCTGCCTCCGATATGATGGTGTTTTTTTTTGAAAAAAAATATATCACCTGAGAATGAAATCAAAGAAGAAAAAAACAACAACAACAACAACAACGATAATTTACATCTTCATCACCTGAGAAACAAACAAGGAAAAAAATAAATTATCCAGTCTAGTTTTATCATTTTTCCAGATGGACATTATATAAATTTATGGTTTTTCTCTCTCTTTTTATGTGTGTGTGTCTTTTTAAAATCAATCATTGAAAACATGTTGAAATCAAAATGATGATCAATACTGTTATATAATCATATAATAGATAATAATTAACATTTTGACAGCCAATTCTTGATATTGTGATAGTTTTTTTTTGAAATTGAAGATTTTAAAAATTTTTTAGTGAGATAAATCAGTGATTATTCAAAATTTGACGGCTGCTAAAATCATTACACCATTCACTTTTTTGGTATTTATCATCATTTCAATCTGTTGTTCCTCAATCTGTTCTGTTGGTCAAGTTTTGTTGTTGTTGTTGTTGTCGTGCCTGGAATTTCCTCTGAAGATATTTAAAAAAAAAAACATCAATCGAAAAATAATGGCAGCCAATCTTCAAAGTGAAAATTCTAATCGTGGTATTCGTTATTATGTATCACAATATTGGCAAGAAAATGGTGATCCACGTTCAAATGGTCTGCCATTGATACGTGAAGGACCATGGCCTACATTGTTTGTTATTGGTTTATATCTATTTTTTGTAACACGTATGGGACCATCAATGATGCGTAAACGTGAACCATATCAATTACGATGGCCAATGTTAATCTATAATACATCGATGGTCATTATAAATGGTTATTTTCTTATACAATCATTGGTATGTTGTTGTTGTTTTCCATCATTCATATTTAGTTTGTTTCAAATTTTGTTGAAAATTTTCAATTGTTTTGTTTTCTTCAAATCTTTCATTTTTTTTCTCCCACTTCCTTCACAGTATTGGCTAGATTTTGGTCGTGAATTATTTAATTTTAAAATGTTACGTTGGAATGAATTAAAAACACCAACAACAAATGAAGCAAATGAATTTATCTGGTCATGTTATCTATATTGGTTGACAAAATTTATCGATCTCTTGGATACTGTATTTTTTGTATTAAGAAAAAAATATAATCAAATTAGTTTATTACATGTTTATCATCATTCAGTTGTACCTATACTTGGTTGGCTTTATATTTGGTATCATGTTGGCATACCGGCTATTTCATTATTTTCATTTCTGAATTCAGCCGTACATGTTATTATGTATAGTTATTATGCGCTGGCCGCATTAGGTCCACAAATACAACGTTATCTTTGGTGGAAACGTTATCTAACAATATTACAAATAATACAATTCATTTTATTAATAACATATGGTATTATTGTATTTATTGTATCGGATTATCCATCCGGACCATTTTGGATAGCCGCTAGTCAACCGGTTATATTTTTTGGTTTCTTTTCACATTTTTATGTAAAATCTTATTCGAATAAAAAATTGGATTAAAAATTTGTATCATCGTCATCAACAAACAAACAAACAAACAACAATCATTGGGCTGAAATTTTCAAATTATAAACAAAACAAACATTGTAATTTTTATGTAATTAAAATGAAAAAAAAATACAAATTTTTTTGTTGTTGAAAAGTTAATAATAATAAATTAAATTAGAAAAGAAAATTTTCAAATTCGCCAATATTTGCATTTTATAACGTAATCACGTAGTTACGGACATTGATTGATTGATTGACATTTATCGAATAACCTTGTTATCTTATCAATTCTTCAAAAAATGAAAAAAAAATGAAAAAATGTCAATTCAATAAATATGGACACATCATCATTGATGTCATTTGTCAAAAGTTGCTATTTTTTTCCCATATTGATTTGCTGTTTCTTTGCTATGAATTTGATTGAATGAATTTTTCTTTTTCTCTGATTACTTAATAACCAAGTAAAAAATCTATTCATCCATTAAGAATTCAATGAAACAATATCATCATCATCATCATCTTGCGAAACGATTGCGAAAATCAGACAACAGCACAAGTTGATCTGTAGCCAAATTCATTGAATCCGGTGAATATATCCTGGAAATATTCAAGAGAAAAAATGCAAGTTTCCTTCTGAAATGGAAAGTGAAAAAAAAAACGGAAATTCAGAAAAAGAAATAAGACATTTTATTTGATCTATAATAAGAAATGTAATTAAGATTTTATAAAAATCAAGTTGAATCGGTATTCGTCCAATTAGTTGTTGTAGTTGTTGATTTTTTCTGGCAACAAAAATGGCATTGAAATTTTTTTTTTTGCACAAAATTTCTGTCCAAAAAAAAATTAGTCTATTTAAACACCTCCCTACCTATTGCTACCACTACCGTTCTTGTATTTTTGTTGTTGTTGTAATTTGTCATTGTAAAAATAGCCAAGAATAGTATGAAATTTTAATGATGATGATGATAAAATACCTTTGATGACCTTCAATCGGTTGAATAGCCATTGTAAAAATAAATAAAAAAATAAATCAAGTCAACCGTACGACGACAGAAAAATATTTTTTTACATTTTCTTCAAATCATAACCATTTTGAATCATAATTTCTGTTGTTTTGCTAAACAATTTCCGTTTGATAATGAAGAGAGAATGGAATTTCTGTTTTTTTTTTTGCTAATTTGAAGGGGAGAAAAGAAAGGGGAGACAAAAGCAGGCAAGAAAAAAGGAAAAAGGTTTGTCAGACTACCTGGCTAGATGATTTTGGTGAAACAAAAATCACCAACAAAGAAAAAAAGAAATGACATTCCGGATATGTGAAACAATTTTTGCTTATTTTGCGAAAAGGCAAATATTTCTTTCACTTTTTCTTATTATTATTTTGCTCTGAAGGTAAATATTCCAATTTCTTCACATCGTTTTCTTCGTTCTGTAAAACTTTTTGATTAAGACAAAAAAAATGATGTTCACATTTTATACCTGTTTTTCTTTTATTCAAATAAAAAATTTCATTGATTCAATTACATCATCATCATCGTTATGATAATTACAAAGAAGAAAAAGAAGAAAAAATTTAACAAGTAAACAAAGAAAAAAAAACGATCGAAATACAATTAATTTCTCACATTTCATCTTATTATGATGATTTCGGCAAAAAAATCAACATTGGTTTTTTCTTTCATCTAAATGATGATGAAAGAAATGTCACAGGTTTTTTTTGTTGTTGTTGGTAATACTGATATGTTGATGGGAAAATTTTCAGAAACAAAAAAGATTCAATCAAAAAAAAATGACATCATTTCTCTCTCTCTCTCTCTCTCTCTCTCTCTCTCTCTCTCTTTGGCTTTCATTCAAATCTTTTATCATTTTATTGAATCTCGATTTTTGTTTGACGTTAAAAAAACCACGGCCATTATTGCTGTTGTTGTTGTTTTTTTGTTGTTATTTTTAATTTTTGTTTTGTCGAAAACCATAATCTAATATGTACCGAATCANCTCTCTCTCTCTCTCTCTCTCTCTCTCTCTCTCTCTCTCTCTCTTTGGCTTTCATTCAAATCTTTTATCATTTTATTGAATCTCGATTTTTGTTTGACGTTAAAAAAAACCACGGCCATTATTGCTGTTGTTGCTGTTGTTTTGTTGTTATTTTTAATTTTTGTTTTGTCGAAAACCATAATCTAATATGTACCGAATCAAATTTTTCGTTGTTGTTGATGATGATTGACAGTTGATGATTTTAAAAACATGGATTTTTTTTTCATTTAAAAAATACGTACATCCAGTAGCTAGAAATGAGAAGTTTTTTTGAACGACAAATCCGGTTTTGGTTTGTTGTTGTTGTTAATTTTTGTTGTCTTCACTTTCCCTTCCTCTGAAATCATGAATATTTTTTTCTTCAGCACCAAAAGTTGATTTTCCGATTGCAATTTTCTGGTTGAAATTCAAATATAGAGAGAGAGGGGGAGAAAAAACAAAAAAACAAACAAACATTATGATGAACTTTTTTTTGGACATTATGAATTTCGGATGATAAGAAAAATTCTCCTCTTTTTTTTAATTGTTGGAAAAATTTCTCTTTTCTTTTCCGGCAAATTTTCCCATTGTTACAATATTACAAATGATGATTATGATTCGTTAGAAAATTACATTTTGATTTTTGATTTTTTTTTCAAAAATACAAATCCTATCAATCATATTGATTCGATATATAAATATAGTCCATCTCTGTTGTATGTTTGCTATTTGTTATCGTCTTGTTCTAGTTCTTCAAAAAACTGTAAAGAAGTAAAAAATTTGAAAAATCCGAATCCAAATCAAACGATGATGATGAACAAATCCTAATTCATCATCATCAATCAATCAATCAATCAATCAGTTGAAAATTCAGAAACAAAAAAAAACCAGGTAGGTGTTATTGTTATTTATGTGAATGTTTTTTCACCAGAAATAATCATCATCAGACCAGTGATAAATATGAATGATGTATTTGAATGATGATTCGAACAAGTGTGAAAAAAACATGAACTAAAATGAATCAACATGTTGCCTATTTAAAATTCTAAATAAAAATTTCAACCAAGAAAGTAAAGAAAAAAAATGTTTAATTACATTACATTTTTCTTCGATTTTACAAGATAAGATTATTAATTGGAAATTGTAAAATTTTTTTTTCACAGTTGTCAAATTATTTGACATTCTGTCAAATAATTGTAAATGTAAAAAAAAAGAATTAATTTATCTTTTTTACTTTATCTTCATTGGGTTATCTGCGTAAAACAAAATTTATCCTTATTTACTTTTTTCATTTATTTAGATATACAAAAAAATTCTCGATAAATTCATAACGAGAATATCGAATAAATTTCTCTTACCTCCCCCTCCATTCGCTCCATTAAAAAAAACTGAATATAAATTGAAATGAAAATTTCATTCATTTTACCAACGATTTTTCGCTATTTGGTTTGTCATTACCTTTTTTTATCATTATCTTACGCACTTGGTGAATTCATTCTCTTTCTTTCTTTTTGTTTTTGTTCTTTCTCTTACTCTCTTAAAATCTCACAGACAAACACATTGGACATTGTCTTGATCTTTTGATAATTTTTGCTTAGTTTTTCGGTTGTTGTTGTTGTTGTTCATTTGTTGAAATTCATGTTGAAAACAAAAAATAAGAACATTTATAATTTCTTCATTTGAAACATTCAACAAAAAAAATCGGTAAGTTATAAGAAAAATTTGTTTAAAAATAGATTAAATTCATCAGATTTTGTTTTGTAAAAAATAAATAAATCTTTTTTTCTAGTTTCTCCTTCACAATAAAGGTAGTAGGTGTGTGTGTGTACGTGCGTGTTAATTCGTATTTTTTCCTTTAATCTTTATTTCTTTCACTTTCTCACATGGTTGTCTTTCATATATTTTGCTTAACGGCAATGAAAATAAAATTTTTTAAAAATAATAATCCCGATCAAGATTATCATATCGATCATTTCTAGTGAAAAGAAAGGAAATTATTTAACACCCACATACCATACACATGTGATTCCCGAAATAGATTATCGATTAGATGTGAAATTTAGGATCTTTTTTTCATTGTTTTTGCTTGCTTCAACCAACCAACCAAAACAATAATAATATTTTTTTTTTCATTTTCAATTTGATCATCCACCTGATTCATATGTTTCTCAATTTAGGTATTCCTAAAATTCCCTGCAAATTAAATTAGATGATTTTTGATGTAAATTTCACTGTGTGTTGGTGATGATTTGGGTCATCAAACTTTTTTTAAAATCTTCAATCAAGATCATTTGTTGAAAAGTTTTGTCCGAAGAGAGAGTAAAAGAATTGATAATTTTTATAATCGATTTTGAATGAAGCAAAATTTTTTTTTGACCCGAATGATTCTAAAAATAATTTTTTAATAATTTTTTTACTTAAAATTACACAGGTTATCAGGTGATTCATGTTTTTCATCGCAAAAAACAAATTGACGATTCAAATCAATTAATGTGAATGTGAATTTCGAAACCAGAACAACTTTCACCTTGAATTCTTTGTGTGTGTCATTGGATTTACTAAATTTTCAATCAACCTAAAATCAATCAATCAACAACAATAACAAAAAAAAATCAAATGGCAACATCAACATCAGCACGTATCATACCTGTTGATCAATCAATCAATTATTGGGATCGTTATTGTGATCCACGTACAGTAAATTTTTGGCTTATGTCAAATGGACCATGGAAATTAGCTGGATTTACTATTGCATATTTGGCTATTATTGTATTTGGACAAAGATGGATGCGTAAACGTAAACCATATGTATTACGTACACCAATGTTAATATATAATATTACAATGGTTATTATAAATGGTTATTTTCTTTATGAATCATTATTATGGTTAAATTTTGGTCAACGTTTATTTGATTTTAAATTTCCATCAATAAATGATCGTACATCGAATACAATGCATATTATTAATATGTTTTATTATTATCAATGGACAAAATTTGTTGATTATTTTGATACATTTTTTTTCATATTAAGAAAAAAAGATCGTCAATTAACAGCATTACATATTTATCATCATATTTCTGTACCGATTATTGGTTGGATTTCATCATGGGTATGTTTGTTGAAATTTTTTTTTAAAACATCCAAAATCAAAACTAATGAATATTTTTTCTTGTTTCTTTTCAAATCCAAAAAAAAAAAAAAAAAAATCATAGACAAATCCAACAATGCCTGTACTTGGTTTATTTGCAATGCTGAATTGTTTTTGTCATGTAATAATGTATACATATTATGCATTATCATCATTTGGTGATAAAATACAACCATATCTTTGGTGGAAACATTATATAACACGTATACAATTAACACAATTTGCTATTATTGGTACATATGGTTTAATTTTACAATTATTTCATATTGGTTATCCATTATTATATCGTACATTACCAATATCACAGGCAATTATATTTCTTTATCTGTTTGGTCAATTTTATATACAATCATATCGCAGTACAAATCGTATGATAAAAACTAAATGAAATGAAATTGGAATTTTATTTTTTTTCTTCAATATAATTGTGATTGACAATATTCTTATTCTTTAACATTTTGTTTTTCTTGGACTGTCATTATTATTTTTTTTTTGCACTTTCTAATTATGTTATTATAATTTTTTTTGTGAATTTCTTTGCTTTGTTTTGTTTTGTTGTCATAAAATAAATGTTATCGATAATGTATTAGGAATTTTAATTTAAATTTTCTTCAAAAAAATTGTAAAGTTTGCTTTTACCATCGACAGATGGCAATAGCAGTTTCATAATTCATTTGAATGGATCCATTTTTTTCCATCCGAAAAAAAAACAATTTTTGTTTGTTTGTTTTCCTTTGTCTTTTTTTTTTTGGATTTCATTTTAATCAATTTCAATCCAATTATCATTGAATGAAATCTGTAATTCTCCCTTTTTCATTATCTTTATTATTATTAGTTATCGTCCAAAGATTTTTTTCTCTCTATCATAAAATTAATGTTATTGGTTTTTTTGGCCTTTTTTCTCTTGGTAAGTGTAAATCATCCGTAAACAAATTGATATCATGACCGAAATAAATAAATAAAAAAAAACAAAGAAAATATCCAATGGACAATATCAATAAAAGAGAGAGAGAGAGAGAGAAAAAGGTATCCAAATGATTTTATTGATCAATAAGTTTTTATTGAAATATTTTCTTTTCTTTAGACAATATCGATGAACATTTGATATATATCGATAGAGCGAACATATATATTGACAAAGTTTGAAGAAGAAAAAAAATTCTTCATTTGATCAGAATCCGATAACCAATATTAGGATGTTACGGTGCATTGAACACACATACACACAGTATGAATTTGAATTCAAGTTTGACCAATTTCTTCATTACAATGTTAAACAAAAAGAAAAGAAAAAGAAATTTGTCATTCGATACATACAATCGATCCAGAATCTTATTTGAAGAAAAAAAAAATATTTTCTTAAGCTGTTAATTTGTTGAGAAAAAAAAATCGCGAATTTCCGAAAACTTTTTTTCTTCCTTGTTGTTTCCGTTCGATTTGAAGAAAATTCTTTTAAAAAATTGTAAATTCAGATTTTCATCGACAACAACAACGATAATAAACAACAACAAACAAACAAACAAACACAAACGCAGAAAATTTATTGACTCTGCACATTTTTTTTCCAAAGCTTTCATCATCACCAACCACCCACCCAAACACTTTATCGAAACATATTGACATTTTGACTAATGGACCTAAGAGGGTTAAATATGGTATACCGAGTTTCAACAGCGAAAAAAAATGGAAAGTTTTTTCCATTTTTCTTCCAAGATTTTTTTTTCTTTTTTGGAAACTGGAAATTCGGTTCGATAAACAACAATCATTATGATGATGATGATGATGAATCCAAATGTGGATGAATACTTAATACCTATGGTATAGTAAAGTATTGGATCAGTGAAATCAGGAAACTGGAAATTTTTCAAAAAAAGTCAAATATTTTGTTTGTTTGCTGGAACTTTTCTCGTTCAAAAAAAAAAAGTTTAATTAGTATTTGATTTTCTCTCTTTCGCACTTTTTTTCACGCATCTCCAAATTGTATTCCAATGATCATTCAAGTGTCAAGATCATTAACATTAAATTTTTGTTTTTTCAAAAAAATTCTTTATAAAGTTGCTGTTACAACAACCAGAGAAATAAAATGGAATGTTACCAACAACAGCGCCAATTGTAAAACGAATGTAAAATGAAAGAATTTGATCATAAAAAAAACAAAATCCACTCCATAAACAAGTAATCTTTTTTTTGTTGGAAAAAGTCAATTTCAAATATATAAAAGAGATGATCGATTGATAATCAATCAAAATCAATCATTAGAATCAAATATAGTTAACCAGAACAGGGGCGAAAAAAAACTGATACTTTACCTAGTCTAGACCAGAAAAAAAACAACAACAACAATAATCCATCAAATCAAAAAAAAAGTATTCAAATTTCATTTGATGATCAAGATCATGTTACACATACACACACACGTGCTATGTTCCACTTATCATCATCATCATCATCAATATAAATCTCTCTTTTCTTCGTTGATTTGATACATGAAACGAATTTATTATTATCATTTTTTTTACAATCTGATGGGTTAATCAATCAATCAATCAATCAATCAATGTATTGAACAAGTTAAATTCAAGTGTGCAATATTTGTTGTTGTTGTTGTTTATGAAGCAAAAAAAAAGTTACTAAAACTATGTGAAAAGAAAAAACTAACTTTATATGAAATGTATTTCGGTTTTATAATAAAAATCAAATTTCAATATGCAAATTGATAATATTTGCATCAATAATTTTGTTTTGAAAAATGCAAGATTTTGATCGTTCATCGTCAAAATATGAATATTTTAATTATTTCAATGTTTCCATCATCATCATCATCATAATCATCGTCATAAAAATTTTGATTTTGCACAATAATTTATGTAAATTAATTATTATAATGACAATAAAATTCATTATCGATATATATGTAGAGTATGTTTGATGAATGTTGATAGTGACGACAACATTTACTAAATTCATTCAATTAGAATCCAAAAAAAAAACATTAGTTTGGTTTCGATCAAAGAAATGAAAAAACTTACTTGATAATCGAGATAATTGCAGTTGTGTGATTCAAATCATGATTCGAATATTAATGAAAAAAAACAATCGATTGTTTTAGTAGTATCGATATATCATGTTCCAATAACAATTTGACCATTTTTATTTGTCATTTGAGAATCGTTTTTTTTTTTTGGTTAAAAAACGAATTCGATACATCTTTATTCAAAAAATGTAACAACTTTTGAATTTTTCTGTTGATAAACATCATCAATGATCATCCATTCGTATGATTATGATGATGACAATAATTTTGGTTTCAATTTCAATTTCAAACGTGATTATTGTCGAAAATTTCATTTTCCAATGAATGAATCGAGCCGCTGAGTTATTATAATAATTCGAATATACGATGTGAAGAAAAAGACGGCAAGCAAAAAATTCATGATTGATTCAACTTTTTGTTGGTTGCAAGAATCTTTATCGAAGACGACAACGATGATGATGATGATGATGGAAAAGAGAGAAAATAATTTGATCTCAAAATAATTGGACCGTTATTCAATTTTTTTTTCTTTTTTGTTTGATTGGATTCTATTCACACCAATTTCAATAGCAATGAATTCTCAATGGAAAAAAAAATCTTGAATGAAAATCAAATGAATGAATCACAAAATGCGACCAATTTATTAGCTTCATTTTTGTTGGATTCTTTATACTCGCGAATACGACCGGGTTGAAAACAAATGATGATGATCATTTCCGTTCATTATTCAATTTTTATCTCTTTCTTTTTTTCTTGTCTTATTTCAAATTGAAACAATAGATCTGTGATAAGAAAACAGAGACAGAGAAAAGATTTTTTTTTTGTTTTCAATTTTATACAATTATTCAATGAGAATTTCCTGACCTGTAATGATGATGATATGTTGCGATTTTTTTTTGTTTTTTGGGTAATGTTGAATCAATCATTTTGCATTTTCAATTCAATTCATTATCTTATTATCGGGATATAATGAGATGATGATGATGAAAGTGAAAGTGAATGATGGAAAAATGGAATGAACATCAATTATCGTTAACGTCGTTTTGTGCTTGGTTGATGATAATGATGATGATAATGATGGCAATGACAATATCAATGGCATTTCTCTTTTTTCTTTTTTTTGGTTGCCTATTTCGACAAAAGAAACTTCTTCACCAACAACCAAAAAAAAAAGGACGACACATTAACACCCGGGTGTGTATACCGTGTTCTGGAAGTGAAAATGAAAATTCAAAAATTGAGATTAATTCCAAGTGATTAATCATCATCATCATCATCATTGGTGAAACAAAAAGATTCATTTTTACAAATGCTGAAAATGCTTTTTGGCGACCACAATCCTTTCGTTTGCAATAATTTTTTCATAAATTTCATAATGAAAATTCATTTTGAAATTTATGAAAAAACATTAACAACATCATCATCGTTGACGAAAGAAAATTGTTGTTGTTGTTGTTGTATGTACTTTTCATTCCATTTTTGTCCATTGCATCATTCGAAATGATGATGATCATCATCATCATCGATGATTATTATTATTATTATTATGAAATGAAAACTAATCGGATTAATTTTAATTCATCATCATCATTGCCATTTGCGTGTGTTTGATATAATTTTTTTCTTTCTTTCTGTTTGTTTCTGATTGAATTTGGACACACCGAAAAGCTTCTTTTGATTGTTTCGGTATTTTGTGTGCGTTCAATCATTCAAAATCATACAATCCGATTCTCATATGGATCTTTAAGGAATTATGAAAACAGAATGTGGACACATAGAAGAATAATTCGTTAGACCAGAAATAGAAATTGTTTTTCCAAATCCAAACAAAATCTTGAAAGTTTAAATATGTTTTTATCTTGCTTTTGCTTTGCTTTGTGTGTGTGTTTTCTGCATTAATCTGGATCAATTTCGTTCCAAAAATTTTCTGGCCTTCCATTTTTTTCGTTGAATCAGTAAATCGGATGGCGAGTGTAGAGATTTTACTCAATTTAATGTTGACATTTTCATTTTACTTCGGTTCATTCTTCACTGGCTTCCAGAAAAAACGATATTTCTAATTAATATTTTCCACAAAAAAATATAAAGAGAAGAAGATTTAGAAAATGGAAAACAATTTCAAGTATACTTACCTAATGTTGTTGTTGTTGTTCATATTCCATTCATAATGATGATTTCCATTGATGATTATTCGACTCAGAGTGATTCTTTTTTTGAACATATCACAATATTGAAACAAAATAACAATGATGATGATGATAACTTTGGAAGATAAATGGATAAATTTAAAATTTGATTTTAAATTCAAAAAAACAAAAATCGAATGATAAAAATCTTATAAACAAACAAAAACTTTGACAACTTTGCAATTCAAAATAGCCGCCATCATTCGAATTCAAATTCCAAATTCGAACACATTTATATTAAGGGGAGTATCTCATATTTCGAACCGAAAATTTCACACAAGA